TTTCTTTCTTTCTTTCTTTCTTTCTTTCTTTCTTTCTTTCTTTCTTCCTTCCTTCCTTCCTTCCTTCCTTCCTTCCTTTCTTTCTTTCTTCTTTCCTTCCTTCCATAACCTGTCTGGTCTAGAGGCGACTCACTCTAATAACAAGATGCACAAATCATTAAGCAGTGAGGGGGAGTCCCAACTAAAGAACAGAAGGCTGATGCAGGTGATATAGGTTGTCATGGGAGACCCAGAACAAGATGTGCAAAAGTTGAGAAAGGTGTGGGTGCTTATGGAAAAGTGGCAAGGAAGGTCACAAATGGCAATCACATAGGGACAGGCAGGATGTTGCTACCATTGTTAATTGCAAATTAATTGCTTAATGCCCAATTGCAATTTAATGAACTTAGAAGACTAATGAATAAATACACTGCAACACTGTTGCAATTTCAAACATTTGTTAAACTTGTGGTTAGTTAAGTGAGGGTTACCTGTAATATTTTTTCATGATTTCCCAAATACATTAGAAGGAGAAACAACTAGAAAACACCCTACTGTCCCCACACCAGATGGTTCTCCTTTTACCAATTTGTAAGTTGAAAAATGGATGTTATAGATGAAGGAGGATTAGATAGTGCTAATAGAGCAGGAATTTATTGTGAATATAAGATCAAGAGAGGTCTGTTATTGTATTTTATGCTATTTCTAAATTGCCTTCATCAGAAAGATATCTGGCAGGACACAGAAAAAAAAAATTAAAAACAAGATGATAATGAAATTCAGAAATCATAAATAAATCACGCCACCATGCCATGCAGAATTTTAAAAATTTGGCCAAAAATATATGTCTTGGTCCTGAACATAGAAACAAGGTCTTTGTGATAGGATAGTGTCAATTCCTTTCACTCATTTTTGCTTGCTACCTTTCACTTGCTCATGGGCACTTGAAAAGGCCTTCACATGCAAAAATAGATATAGAGGATCTTTCCATATCAATGTTTATTCTGTTCCTTGAATGGGGCCCAGAAGAGTAAGTGGAGATAATGCAATTCTTACAGTGTCGGAACATAATTATTTTTCTGCAATCAGATTCTCTACCAATTTAAATCTGAAGAATAGTTTTCAATTCCGTATGAGATAGAGCACAATACAGTAATCCAAACTGAAACTATTTATCCCTTTCTTTGTGAATATCAGCTGGAAAAATTTCTAAATTTTGACATAGGAGTAACGTGGGGTACATTATGAAATGAGAGGGACAACCTCTGAGGTCTGGTGCAGATCATGTATGAATTGGCAAGGGTGGTGGAGAGCTTTACAGACCCTATCTGCATGTGTATAGGAAGTGTAATGGTATGCGGGAATGACCTTGAGAAATTTGGAAGAGATGCTGCCAAGGGATTGGTAAAATAAGGTCGACAGTTGAACAAGTGGCTCAGAAGAGAATTTCTCTAGTTTCTTGGGTGGGGGATGGGGGGGAGAACTGTAGAATTGAATGTTGAAAGTAGAATGAAATCATTTGGTCAGGTTTCTTGTTTGGTTTGCCTCACAGGGCCAACAGGAAGCCCTTAGACAGGCAGTGCAGTGCAAGCGAAGACCAGATAATAGATGGCATGGCATGAATACAGGAAGACCCAGGGACTTACAGAGCAACTCCGTACTGACACTTGCAAACTTCCGTACTGACTTCTTTATTGACAGACAAATTTGAAAGTATCAGGCCAATACAATGATCAACAAACAGAAACATACCCATTTGGGGTATGTGATCTGAATGGATGGTAGACTAAGAAAAAAATCATGTTTTGCAAGCATCAGGGAAAAAGAAGAAGACTATGGTCAAGGTTGAGGTGGGCGGACACATTCAAAACCATTAGTGGAAGTGTTGGGGGGGGGGAGATTTGTAAAGTACTATTAAAAACTATCCTCACAGTGAGATAGGCAGCAAACAAATTTAATAAATAAATAAAAATAAATAAATACATTGAGTTAGCAAATATTTATCCACATATTCATCAGGAGCTGAGCCTGAACTTGATGGCACTTAATTCATTACTGGCCAAGTAATATTGCCTTTCCATGTTTCCAGGAGTAGCAGTAATTTAATATAATATAGGACAGGTACGTGCAGTCACTAGAGGCAAGGGAGGCGGGGTCTCACCAGTCATGAGGAAAAGAAAAAGAATTTTAAATATTTTTTTAAAAATAATTAAAGCCAAGGTAGTTGCTGCCAGATTCACAGTGACTTGGAACAGTGCTTTGTGTTAACCATAGGAGAAGGTCAGAGAACTAGGGGCCTNCAGCCTATATTTTATATAGAAGAAGAAACAGACCACAACAAGTCTCTGCTGGATTTGACAATTCTTTGTATAAAGACAATGTGGTTATTCTTCCTAAGGATTCACAACATCTTGAAGAAATTTAAAATTCAAGGTTTTGAATTACACTGTTCATAATACTTTCAAATATATGGAAAAATTTGGACTCTGTTAACAATATGTATTGGCCAGATCCATGATATGAAAATATTAAACTTATTATACTTATTGAGTTAAAATATATTCTGTGTACTTTCAAATTGAAGGTTTTTTTTTAAAGAATCGTTTCTCCACTGGGAGGGAGGAAAGGAAAGAAGGAAAGAAGGAGATTGGAATGAGAAAGAGGGAAGGTCTGCTTTAGAACTTGGCCACTGCAGCTCTGCTGCTCTCTTGCCCCCTTCTCCTGTCCTGTTCTGGTGGTCTCACATCCTATCTCTGAGGATGCTTTGCTTACAAAGCTGGGTCTCCTCACATGGAGAAAGATTGGGGCTCTCTCTAACTGATGCTTTTTGCCCTCCCACAACCATGATAGCAACCTGGCCAAGTAGAGAGAGTACAGCAGTAGCAGCCTCAAGGAGTAAGTAAGCGTGGCTGGGCACCCCCTTGGAGAAGCAGGACTGGGCTGGGTGGTGGGGTCCTGGTACCCCAGGAGCTTGTGGGCTGACATGGACACTTGACTTCCCTGCCCAGGACTTTTGGCTGGTGCATTTGCACAAAGATCTGGCTTAGGAAATGTCTTCCACCTGATACGCAGGATTGCTACCATAAAGTGATCAAGCTCTTAAGGCTTTTATCCCTATAGAAGCAAAGAATGAAACAATGAAAAAGAAAAATATCTTCTTTTTGAACTGCATATATAAAGCTTCAGTTTAAAGCTGGTTGAAACCACAAATTGCAGTTAGGAAATAGTTTCGCAAATGCTGCTTAGACACTTTGATGAAAGAAATAAAATGACTAGTGAAGAAAAAACAAAGGAAGCAAATCTAAACCTCTGTGTGTAGACAACAAAACTTTCCCTTCAAAAGTTGTTTTCAAATTATTACCCATTACAAGGAGACTGTAAGTTCTAGTGTTGTCTTAGATATAAAAGCTACCTGGGTGACTTTGTGCCAGGCCCTTTTTCTCCGCCCACAGGGTTGCTGTTCTGTAGAAAATGGAGGAGGAAGGTGTGTTGGAAATGTTTCCCATCTTAAATTATTTATAAAAAATAATAAAGACTGATATAAATAAAACTGCATGTTTAATTGTATTTTAGTATAAAATTTAATTCAAGCCAGCAATGCAAATCTATGTTACTAAACTAGAAAGCATCTTTCACCAGCCACTGTGTTAACTTGATCCACTGTGAATAATTGTTCAGCAGCATCCTTAGTCATTTCTGAGGGCCCAAATTATTCAGTCTTGTATCAAGCAAAAAGCTTGACAATGATATTGTCAACCGTACCACTGGATTGGACAGCAAAAGAAACCACTGGGACATTTTTTTAAACCAAGAGTATAATTTTACTGAGGATTCCATAGAAGTAGAAAAGTCAGTTTAACTATTTTGTGTGCAAACAGCATAGGAAAACCCACCTCTTTCTGGACCTCACATTGTCCATTGCCCACCAATCGTTTATACTTGCTTTGTTTTGGGATTAGTTTTTATGCCTCAGATGTTCCCAGCCTTGGGTTGTTAGGTCTGTCTGAGGTTTCCAGTCAGCACAGTTGCATTCCAAATTTCTCTTCCAAGCCTGCCTTACATTCCAATGCATTCCTTCCCCTTTTTCCCATTACTGTTACCTGGTTGTGAGTGGGGCTGTGTAGTAAGTCAACCATGACAGTTATCCAATCAATATATATTTTTTAAAAAAAACATTTTTTCTTCCTTTTAATTTATTTTATATATTATGGCATTGTAAACTAGTTTTTTAAAGAAAATATTTCACACATTATGAAAGTTTACATGATAGATGATAGTTGCACAGATAATTACAGGTAATGGTCAGATTATGATGCCATTTGTGACTGGAACTACCATTGCTAAGCAATGCAGCTTTAAACCCTGATGTCATATGACAACAACTCTTAGCAATGGCAATCCAGATAGTCTCAGTTTCTTTCTTTCTTTCTTTCTTTCTTTCTTTCTTTCTTTCTTTCTTTCTTTCTTTCTTTCTTTCTTTCTTTCTTTCTTTCTTTCTTCCTTCCTCCTTCTAAGACACCAAGCAGAATGGAGATGCCAATGTGGTCCTGTCAGATGAAGATCAACCTCTTTCGTCACCCCAAGAGGAGAAGCAACTCA